TGAAATCATGTCTTCTTATCATTCTGATATCGGTCACTGTATTTCTTAATTATATTACTTACAGAAATGTTATAAAATTATAGTGAATGAAAGTAGTACGTTGTGCAACGTTCATAGTTCTGATAAAAAAGACAATTCCGGAGAATTAAGGGTGTATCAAAATATTACTGAATCGACATTTAGTCCACAAACCCCTACATTATATAAGCTTTAAACGACATAGGCACAACTAATATCTTACAAAATTCGTTTTGAAAGTTTGTTAATCCGAACCACCTGTAAATAAAACTAAAAAGTCTAAATTATTCAAACAAGGTAAGCGTGTAACTGTCACGCTATTATATTGTATTACTTTCATCTTATCAATAGAATAATTCAGAGCGGATGGGACTTTGGAGGAGATGAAAAATACAAAAATGAAGAAGAAATTGATAATGGAAAGCTAAACCAATAAATCAAAATACGGAACTGAATTTAAATGATGCTAAGCTAAAGGCAAATTCGGATGAAGAGGTGTATCACGATTCAGATGGAAAGTCATATCTGCCCTGCATTTTATGGACTCGTTTCTTCAGTTATTGTTCAGTGGTCATATCCAGAAAAAGCCAAGAAAAAAAAGCAAAAAAATATTTAGCTATTTTCCTTGAAAAGTTTTTTAATGATAAGAAATAAATTAAGTTTTCGCACATGAAATCAAGATTAAAGAAAAATAACGCGGTTTTGAGTGATTTTAGAAATTGCATTTGAATTTTGTGCCAATTAATCAATTTGAACAGTGGTTTATTGCCGCTCAAAATCTAGTATGTCGATGCAAAATGAAGTTTTGGATACTTTTAAGAGGATCATGTTAACGATTTCAAGATAATTTCGGAATTGGGTATAAAATGTTCTGAATACGAAAAGAGCAGCATACATTTTACTCAGACTTCATTTATGATACATAATGATCCTTAAAATTTGTTTGCATTTGTTTTTATATCCAGAAACAAGTTAAACTTTACAATTTGGGTTTCTCCCGATCGTATCCATGCTTAGTGAAGCGGACCGTTAAGTCTAATGTTCTTCTGTCCGTCTATCCGTCCGTCCATATTGCAACTGATCATCTTAAACCAATGACGAGATAAAGCATGAGAAAACAAGAGCTTTGACTATGTACACAAGGGAGAAGGTTTTTCATATTGCAACTACTCCTATTTTGATTTCAAACAGCTTTCAATGTAACTTTCTAAAATAATGCCGAAATAATTCAAACAATCTACAAAAGAGAGAAGAGACTTTACTTCCGAGATTCTCTTATTTCAATGAAAATTTCGCAGAATCTTCAATACGAAATACCATTGTGAACAAGAGGAGACGTGCCGTATATTTGTATTCATAAGGAAGATTTTTTTAATTTTATCAATACATGTAGCTTTTAAGTATGTATAATTTAGCACACTCAGCATTGTTAGTACAGTTAAAGGTCAAAGGTCAAAATGTAACAGCTGGTATTTCCTTCCTCCTTTCCTATGACATTTCAATGTGTTGTACTGTTACGAGTATGCATCCTTATTTGAAATATAATTATCTTAGGCCTTGAATATGTACTAGTTGGTCTTACATCTGATTTTATATACTGAAGAACTTGGTTGTTTGTTAGCTGTCAGAGGAAATTTACAACCTTGTTTTCTCACATCTCATTCTCATTATATAAACATCAAAACAAAAAAGTCTTTTTTTTAACACAATATAATTTCATTCATGACACGAAAATCAATTGTTTGTTCCATGGCTTTCATCAACTACTATCTCATAATACTCCAGATTTCAGTGTACATATGAGCATACATATTTGTAGGCCTCATGTTATTACGTCTACTTGAAAGTACACCATTACTGTAACTGTCCTAGATTAGTGATATACCGAGATGCCTTCAATTTTCATCAGTCAAAAATGTGATCTCTGGTCTTTTTTCATTAAAAATACATTTATGGAATCGTTGCCTGCATATCAAAGTGTTCAGTAAGACAATACACAACTCTTTTGTGTTCTTTGAAGCGTCCAGTAGCAAATATTCCATCAATAGGTTTTAAAAAGGACAAAAGTATCATTGAAGATACATTACTTTGGGTTAACTATATATAATTTATCTCAATAGTCACAACACCTCGTCCATTAAAATATGTATTTCGCATAGTAAATACCTTTCCATAGATTAACCTTTACTTAAAAGTAATATTTCTAAAACCTGAAAGTACTTAACCAAGGATATTCAAACAATATATAAAGATTTAAATTCCTGTATAATAATTGTGAATAATCTTCAACCTGTCAGTGTTTGTTCAATTAATTGTCACTGGATATTATCGGTAGCAACTACTGTCGTCTCGGACAAATATGTAAATAAAATATAACCATATTCTTCTTCAATGGCACGAGGGAAGTTAAACTATTTAGTGTTTACATTCATAAATACAATTAAATATTTGTAAAATCAAGTGATATCATTACAATTTTGTAGAAATATATCAGTTTCTATGGGATTTCAAGGATATAGTCGTATTTGAAACAAATAAGAAAATAAATATTTTGACATCTCAACAAGTTAAATAAAGTTCTGCTAACGTTTGGCATAAGACCTTTTTCAAAAGCTAATATCGACAACCAATATAATAGAACAAACGTCACCTCTTCTGTACTCTGTCTTAACCGAATATGATTTGCTTGGTCATCTGTTGGACATGATAGATTTGTTTACTATGATTATGATTAGAATATATCGTTCCTATAATATACATTTCAGTCTGGAAGACAATGATTTATTACTTAGTTGTTATTGGCTCTGAACTAGCTTTCAGTATCTGTGGGTATACTCATAGAATGGTACTTTGTGTCTTTAATCTTTGTGCTATTATTTTTGTGCTTCGTGTCGATCTGACGAGACTAGCCATTTCCAAAATATTTTTACAGTTTGTTCTTATGTTGTGCTGCTACACCACTGTTCCAGGTTAGGGGAGTGTTGAGCGCTCACAAACATGTTTAACTTACCTCATTCTGTATGTGTCTGTCCTAAGTCAGGAGCCTGTAATTCGGTGGTTTTCGTTGGTAGCTTGTCTATTATATCTGATATTCGTTTATTAATTTGTCATAAATCAGGTCGTTGGTTTTTGTTGTTGTTTGAATTGAGATGATTATACGGTATGGGATTTGCTCGACGTTAAACCTCGTAAAGAGGCCTATATTTGCTTACATTGACGTCATTTTAACTCTGTTGAATAGTTGTCTCATTGGTAATTATATCAAAGCTCCTCATTTTATATTTTGTATTCTACTTGCATTATTTCGAATATTACATTGAAACACCAACAGTGAAGTAGATGGATAAGATCAAAATAAAATGAACTTGTGTTTATGGTTTCTCTATATGCCTCAATATACCGTTGCATACCCTTAAGTTTTTATTTGGACTTTCAGTAGGGAATCATGACAAAATTTCAGGTCTCTTCATAATTACAATCAATGTCAAAAGAATTAGCAAATTGAAAAAAAAACTTTCAATATCTAAAGCACCCTATTTCGTTAATCAGGAGTTTGCAGCATATGAATGTTGAAAATACTTCAGTATGTATTGCTTAATATGTTAAGACAAAACAATAAAACACAAGTTACTGAAGTTGACATATTGTAATCCCACCGCGTTCTATTCTACATGTACCTCAATCGCAAAACGTCAACTTACCGATTAAAACATGCTAAATAAATATTTGATCATTTGAATGTAATACTTTTTTCTTTTGATATCTAAAAAGTAGGCTGTTTTGGAGGAATCTGATATAGATATTGGTCTTGCATTGTGTAATAAAAAAAACAGTGTAAGGTAAGCAATTAGTTCAAATTACAGAATTACTCTGTGTAAATTTTTCTTAATCTGGGTGAAACTGACATGATACATAAAGATCTCCCAGAATTTGATTGGAATTTTGATACCATATCACTTTCCGTCTAAATCTTACTTTGGAAACAAAGGGTTTGGTTAATCATCCTTGTGTGCTGGTATTAAGTTCGTGACATTCAGAACATAGTACAGTGATCTCGGAAAGAGTTCTACGGAATCGTGAGATAACGATTAGGACACGTGTTAAGTCGACAAGAAGGATTAAAGTATATAATACACAAGAGGAAAACATAAGAATCATTTCAGAAAAAAAATCAACTGTAACATAAAGTCCTCTCCAAAAGTCAATAAAACAATAACAGCATTTTAAGACCAATAATAGAAACATTTATAATCTGATTACTCCGTGTGACATCGCTTAATAAAGGCAATGTCTTGTTGTTGTTGTTGGCTTTCACGACGTATCCAGAACTTGCTTTTGGAGGATTACACCAAATCGGTGATTTAAAGCAAAGACATAAAAGGTCAAGGCACGAAATGACTCTTTCTAATAATAAGAAAAGACATTTTTAACGACACGGTTAAAAACGACGATGAGATGGAAGATAATTGTATCCTTGTGTTTTAAGGAAGTAGTCAACATTTAATATTGAAAGGAATTTGATTTCTAAAGATAGACAACATATCGAATTCCGGGACTGAAATTTTAAACGGGAAGTTTTTACATAACTTGAATTAATATTGATTTTTATCTTGAAATGGTAACAAACTATATACATGTGTATAATAGAAAAGAAAGGGTGTATTGGTAACACGTGTTATACAGTCTTTGTATGTCAAATTATTCTGTTGAATTTGCAATGTATGTAAATTTATAATTATTTATTTCTTGTTATTCATTTTTATAATAAAGACTTGAAAGGAAAGATATACAAGACACACTCCAGAAAGTCCCATAAGGAAGTTCTAAACTGCCTTGCAAATTATAGTTATATATTTGAAGGGAATCCCTTATGTTACAACATCATATGTTAATAAATGTACCAAAATAGAGAAATAGTAAAGAAGAAAGATATAATTGGAAATAGAATAGATTACATATATGATAAAGAATAAGATCCATACCTTTTCTGATGTTATATATGGAATGTCAACTGGTTTAATATCATCCTCATCTAATTGAGTTTTGCGTGTAATCTTATTGAAATCACTGAGTCTTAAAGACGTATCCTTTACGTGTAACTTCGATAAACTTTTTTCTCTTGCACGATCCCATCCAGATTGTTTACTTCCTTCACTCTTTCCAATCTGCTTTGTTTTACGCTTATCCAGTGGAGATTTTCTTTTTTCCCTGTGTTTGCGTCCAGCTGATTCAAAAGCTGTCACTGCTTGAACTTTGACCCTGATATTTGTTTGTTTTTCTTCATCTTCTCTTGAAACTCCTGTACCCATATTTAATACACCATAGTATCCAAAAAAAATAATCACACGTGATTTGACGACACGCTTCACATAATCTCCTCCTACAACCTTCCGCTTTCAAAACGAACACTGTCTCTCTCCGTTGTTTTCCCAGTCACGATATTTAGATCAATACGTTGAATTCTGTCGGTAATATATAAATATTTTTAACCAATACAATTAACTGCTAAAGTCATGAAAACATTGTCAGAAAGGCCTTTGTATTCTATTGAATTAGTATTTAATTGAGTATCTTTAAATGTGATAATATAATTTCCGTTTTCAATGTCAAAATTATTTATAAAACGTTATACAAACAGCTCTTCAAATTTAATTTGATAGAAAATTTAAATGTTTCCGTGATTAAGATGAAAATATTTCTATAATATCAAAGCAGTGTGTTTATTGTTCACCCCACGTAAACAAATCAAAATATTGGAAATTTTGATATACATGTATTTGGTCTTGTATACATTCATTCATTCATTTCCACTATCAAAAGATTAATATTAATTAAGAATATACCACCAAGATCTTTCCTGCTTAAAGAGTGCTTTAAACACTTTCTTTACGTTAATTCAAAAGAACAATTATAAATCCAAGACTATGTGAGTGTTGACTGGAGTTATCGAATTCTCCAGATTCCCAAGTTATTTATAAGATCTTCAATTCAATTAGAACCGAGATGACACTGTAATTAAGAATGCTATAATTTTAAACTTAACTGAAATGCAGCTATGCAAAATAGAATTAACCGAGCTTAGAGTTAACTTTATTTTGTAGTTACTGATACAACTGAATGTATCTTATTTAGGTCAGGTTAAAGTAAAATGGTGTCATACATTTTCATCAGATTTTGAAAACCAATCAACTTAGCCACGCTCAAATTGAATTTAAAAAATAAAAAATAATACATTTTCTTTATATTACGCATGAATTCTAAAAAATAATATTTGATCAGAATGAAAATAATTTGAACTAGCTTAGTTCTACATGTTTTGTGCTTCGTGCCGCTATCATGAGTCAACCACGTTTTCCCTGAATTTCAGTTGTGCTGTTACACTCCCGTCCCTGGTTGGCAGGAAGAACGAACGCGAATAAACATGGTTATTTTTTTTTTGTGCTTCGATCTGATGAGTTTAGATACTGTTACATCACTGTTCCAAGTTAGGGAAGGGTTGGCGCACACACAAACAGTTTTAACCCGACACATTATGTATGTGTCTGTCCTAAGCCAGGAGCCTGTAATTCAGTGGTTGTCGCTGGTTGATGTCTGTATGTGCCTGTCCTAAGTCAGGAGCCTGTAATTCAGTGGTTATCGCTGGTTGTTGTCTGTATGTGCCTGTCCTAAGTCAGGAGCCTGTAATTCAGTGGTTATCGCTGGTTGCTGTCTGTATGTGCCTGTCCTAAGTCAGGAGCCTGTAATTCAGTGGTTATCGCTGGTTGTTGTCTGTATGTGCCTGTCCTAAGTCAGGAGCCTGTAATTCAGTGGTTATCGCTGGTTGATGTCTGTATGTGCCTGTCCTAAGTCGAGAGCCTGTAATTCAGTGGTTATCGCTGGTTGTTGTCTGTATGTGCCTGTCCTAAGTCAGGAGCCTGTAATTCAGTGGTTATCGCTGGTTGTTGTCTGTATGTGCCTGTCCTAAGTCAGGAGCCTGTAATTCAGTGGTTATCGCTGGTTGATGTCTGTATGTGCCTGTCCTAAGTCAGGAGCCTGTAATTCAGTGGTTATCGCTGGTTGATGTCTGTATGTGCCTGTCCTAAGTCAGGAGCCTGTAATTCAGTGGTTATCGCTGGTTGATGTCTGTATGTGCCTGTCCTGTCAGGAGCCTGTAATTCAGTGGTTATCGCTGGTTGATGTCTGTATGTGCCTGTCCTAAGTCAGGAGCCTGTAATTCAGTGGTGATCGCTGGTTGCTGTCTGTATGTGTCTGTCCTAAGTCAGGAGCCTGTAATTCAGTGGTTATCGCTGGTTGATGTCTGTATGTGCCTGTCCTAAGTCAGGAGCCTGTAATTCAGTGGTTATCGCTGGTTGTTGTATGTATGTGCCTGTCCTAAGTCAGGAGCCTGTAATTCAGTGGTTATCGCTGGTTGATGTCTGTATGTGCCTGTCCTAAGTCAGGAGCCTGTAATTCAGTGGTTGTCGCTGGTTGTTGTCTGTATGTGCCTGTCCTAAGTCAGGAGCCTGTAATTCAGTGGTTATCGCTGGTTGATGTCTGTATGTGCCTGTCCTAAGTCAGGAGCCTGTAATTCAGTGGTTATCGCTGGTTGCTGTCTGTATGTGCCTGTCCTAAGTCAGGAGCCTGTAATTCAGTGGTTGTCGCTGGTTGTTGTCTGTATGTGCCTGTCCTAAGTCAGGAGCCTGTAATTCAGTGGTTATCGCTGGTTGATGTCTGTATGTGCCTGTCCTAAGTCAGGAGCCTGTAATTCAGTGGTTATCGCTGGTTGCTGTCTGTATGTGCCTGTCCTAAGTCAGGAGCCTGTAATTCAGTGGTTATCGCTGGTTGCTGTCTGTATGTGCCTGTCCTAAGTCAGGAGCCTGTAATTCAGTGGTTATCGCTGGTTGCTGTCTGTATGTGCCTGTCCTAAGTCAGGAGCCTGTAATTCAGTGGTTATCGCTGGTTGATGTCTGTATGTGTCTGTCCTAAGTCAGGAGCCTGTAATTCAGTGGTTATCGCTGGTTGATGTCTGTATGTGTCTGTCCTAAATCAGGAGCCTGTAATTCAGTGGTTATCGCTGGTTGTTGTCTGTATGTGCCTGTCCTAAGTCAGGAGCCTGTAATTCAGTGGTTATCGCTGGTTGATGTCTGTATGTGTCTGTCCTAAGTCAGGAGCCTGTAATTCAGTGGTTATCGCTGGTTGATGTCTGTATGTGCCTGTCCTAAGTCAGGAGCCTGTAATTCAGTGGTTATATCGCTGGTTGCTGTCTGTATGTGCCTGTCCTAAGTCAGGAGCCTGTAATTCAGTGGTTATCGCTGGTTGATGTCTGTATGTGCCTGTCCTAAGTCAGGAGCCTGTAATTCAGTGGTTATCGCTGGTTGATGTCTGTATGTGCCTGTCCTAAGTCAGGAGCCTGTAATTCAGTGGTTATCGCTGGTTGATGTCTGTATGTGCCTGTCCTAAGTCAGGAGCCTGTAATTCAGTGGTTATCGCTGGTTGCTGTCTGTATGTGCCTGTCCTAAGTCAGGAGCCTGTAATTCAGTGGTTATCGCTGGTTGCTGTCTGTATGTGCCTGTCCTAAGTCAGGAGCCTGTAATTCAGTGGTTATCGCTGGTTGATGTCTGTATGTGCCTGTCCTAAGTCAGGAGCCTGTAATTCAGTGGTTATCGCTGGTTGATGTCTGTCACATTTGCTTTTCGTTTATTGGTTTAGCATAAATCAGACTGTTGTTTTTTCTCGTATATTTTTTAAAACATTTGTTTACGCCAGTGCCTTTTATTGCTTACTATACGATATTAGATTTGCTAGTTGGTGAAGGTCTTACCCGAGCTTATAGTTACTTTATTTCACAGTAACATACATTCCATCTAGGTCAAGTTTAAGTAAAGAGATGTCATACATTTCGATCAGATTTGGCGTACAACTTAGACACGTTCAAATTGAATTAAAAAGACTAAACGAATTGTTGTCTCATTGGCAATCATACCACATCTTCTTATTTTTATAAAAGATAATGCTTTTTCATAAATTGTAATCATAAATTTTGTTTAAAAACTGAACACTTGTATAGAATGAACATACTTTGAACTAGCTTTCAGTTACTACAAGGACTGTTAAATTAGTACTATGAGTTTTTTTTAATTTTTATTAGTTGTAGTTTGTTTTTGTTTTTTTGTTTGTTTGTTTTTTGTTTTCTTCATGCCGATCTCAAGTCGTTCCAGCTGATGTTTATTCTTATGTAACTGCTATTACATCTCTGTCCCAGGATAGAGGATAAAAAGCATGTTAAATCCCGACATATTCTTTATGTGTCTGTCCCAAGTCAGGAGCATGCAATTCAATGATTATCGTTTGTTGCTGTCTGTCATATTTATGTTTCGTTTATTGTTTTAGCATAATTTATGCCGTTGGCTTTTCTCGTTTAACTACATTCTTAAATTAATGTAGTCATTTTAAATAATTCCTCGAAAACCTTGGATACAAACTACCTCAGACATTTAACACTATTCTCCTTATGTCTGCTATGGCCATTATGTACATCGTTTTCTTTTCACTACATTTGTCTTAACATTTGTGAGGTTAACCCACTTTCCCATGTTTTGGGGAGACGAGTACCTACAATCATGTGAAATTCCGCCACATTCTTTTGGTCCCTTTTCAAAGCCAGAAACATGTATTCCAGTGGTTGGCGTTAAATAACGTCTTTTATTATAGTTTTTCGTTAAATGCTATATATAGCTTATCAGGGACATTTATAGCCTTCTGTACTGTTTTTGTTCATCGTTGAAAGCCGTACGGCTCCCTGCAGTTGTTTACATCGTTGCCGTTTGGTTTTATTGACAGTTGTTTAATTGACAATCTTCCACACAGTTTAATTTTATATTTGAAGATTATTTAAGGCAATCGCTTTTTTAAATTTATTTGTTTGTTTGTTTGAATTTTTAAGTCGTTTGTGTTTTATGTCTGTAATGTATGTTTACACAGTTTTGGCTGATGGATCCCAATTATTGTTACCTTAACCTATTATATCTGTTTTGGTTGTTAACCCAATTTTGTCAATATAACGGAACTATAAACAATTTGCCTTGGAGTTCGTTTTATTTTTTTATTATTACCTTTAAGTTAATAACCGGATTGGTGATGAGTAGTTTCAATAAGAACGAAGTTGTATACAAAATTTAGTTTAACACTTCTGGTCAAAAGTTGAGCAAAAAAGGTAACGTTATAGTCAGAATTCATAAATGGACAAAAAAGATCTAAATGTCAAAGCTTTGGAACATAAATCAGTTGAGTATAAAAGATAAAGTAGAAACCGTTCTTTTATTATTCGGGATTTCTCTTGTAGTTATAATCCATCTAATGGTGTCCAACACATCATGGATATTGTAGCTAAACTCTCCGGGAAACTATGTTATAGGTCTACTTGATTATTTTTCCAGGTGGCGAAAAAAATCTATCGAAAAGATACTATTGTTTGTGAATTGTCGTACCGAATGTTCAGATCCCTATCAACCACCCATAAGAATAATATACAGTTAACAAAATGGAAAGTT